CCTGTTCAGCTCTTGCACCTCTTCAATTTTTCCATTTGCTTTGGCTTCTCTACATTGGAGAGCAAGTTTCAGAGTCTCTTCTGACATCCATCTTTGCTAGAACAAGTCCCAATCAAGACCTCCTGGCTTGGTAAGGCTGATCTGTGTCCCTGCCCAGAAAATAATGTGCTTCCAAAGAAATGAAAATAAAAAATTTCTTAATCCAGGAACAAACAAGATGGTGGATCGGGTAAAAGTACAGTGAAGGGCTCCGTCAGCAACAACACAGAATACCGAACCAAACAGGCTCAGGGAATGGTGCCAGAACTCTGAACCACATATTAAGGAATATTTACAAGGTTGGAAGGCTTACAACTAGGGAAATTTTTACCAGAAGCAAGAAATCCATTGCTTTCTAATTCAAGATGCTCAGCTGCTCCCAGTGCTGCCATCTTGTGCGAGACCAAGCGTGGGAAGGATCAGAGCATCCACAGATGCCTGACAGAACCACGGAGATAAAGGAAGAAGAGTGAAAAGGGAAGCCCATCTTCTAATCACATCTACCTGGAGGTAATCAGAGAGCATAAAAAAATACCAAAATACACACCCATCTAAGTATTAAGGCCACAGATAACCCCTGAAGATGCTCAAAAAACAGAGGCAGATGACCATATCAGCACATGTCCAGAAATGAGATAAAGTGACTGATGCAAATGAGCTGAAAGTAGACCTACACTCCATACTGGAAGGTGGGCAGGCTTTGGAAATGCCAAAGAAGGAATTCAGAAAAATGATTATAAAATGTATCAAAACACTATACGATGGAGTTGAGAAAAATAAGGAAGAAGTCAGGAAAGCACTACTGAGACAATCAAATAAAATAGATACAGCATTGGAAACAATTCAAAACCTACAGAAAGAGGTCCAAATGATTAATAATAGAATAACAGAAATGGACAATACACTGAAAGGGCAAAGGAGTAGAATTGAAGAGATAGAAGCCAGAACTAGTGAGCTAGAAGATAAATCTCTCAACACGATTAAAACAGAAGAGCAAACACAAAAAAAGATTTTAAAAAATCTGAATAAGACCTAAGATTCATGTTGGACAACGTGAAGAGGAATAACTTAAGAATTATCGGCATTCCAGAACAGGAACAATCACACAAGTCCACAGAGGAGATAGTTGAAGAGCTTCTGGAAGAAAATTTTTCTAACATCCTGAAAAGCAAAAAGATAAGTATTCAAGAAGCTCAACAAACCCCATGAAGGATAGACCCTAAAAGAAAATCACCAAGACATATAATAATCTCTAAAGACCTCTGTGAAGCCCTCGGGCTTTTGCAGCAATGAGTAGGAATGAACAACTGACAACATGGAAAAACCTCACAAATACATTGTTGAGGAAAGACACCAGACACAAAACGGTATATACTGCATGATCCTATTTATATAAAATTCTAAATCGGGCAAAACTAAATGATGGTGACAAAAGTGAGGCAGTGGTAATCTCTTGGGAAGAAGGGTAAGTTTTAAAAGCTCAAGGGGGGCTTCAGGGAGGTTAGTAACGTTCTGCTTCCAGATCTGAATAGTGGTTAACGGGTATGTTTATTTTACGAAAATTTATCACACAGCAACCCTGTACAGGGTTTACATCTAAGGTCTATTCATTTTACTGTAAGTATGCTATATGTTCATTGTAAAATTTATTGAAAACCAAGTAAGTCAATAAAAACAACCTCCTTGAGTGTCCTCTGAACCCAACTGGAGAGTAATTGGCTCAGAAAAAGCACAAGGTTCACTGTTAATGACCAACGTAGGTTCCACCCACAGAACCACTTGGCAAGCTTCAGCTGATAACAGGTGACAGGTACTCACGAGGCTTTGATGAGCAGCTGCTCTCGTTCCTGGAGCTCCCGCTTCAGACTTTCTACTTCCACCTTGAGTTCAATGTTCTTCCAAGTAATAGTAGGAAAGAAAAGAAACAGTGTGAAATACAGGCCATGTGAACAGGGACACCTGTGAGTGTGGGGACTGCTTTCAGCATGGACTGACTACGCAGTGCTTGTAATAGGCAGATGTTAAACTCAAAACCTCATTAGTCTCAGGGCACAGGGAAAAGGGAATTATTAAACACGGGTGGGTCTCCCAAAAGAAAACCCAGGATTTCTCAAGACTTGGAACAATTATGTAAATTTTCTATGCATCTAACAGCTAGAGAATTCAAACATCAAGGCATAAATGCCATACAAGTGAGGCTGATTTAAAAATTGTTTGCCCTCTGCCAAGCAAATTTATAAGCAATTCTACAGTTTGCTTTTACCATTTCAAGGCAATTACTTCTGGTTGTTCACAATCATGCATGTAGTTGTTGTAACAGTAGGAACACGTTACAGCTTTAAAAAAATAAACTACGCGGATGGATAAGTGGGAGGTCGCAACATGGCCTATCCGGTTTCAGTATGAAATTTCAGGGCACTCACATACAAAAAGCCACAACCACATGGGGCGCAAGCTGTCTATAACAGACCCCGCAGCATTCTCCAACCAACTGTTTCTCTCGTCATTGACCGGAACAAAGGGAGTCACACGTGGCCTTAGGCTTACAACTCATGTGAGAATCCAAAGACAAAATATTGGGCAAACAGATCACAGCGTGAGATAGTGGAGCAGTGGGGGGCTTCTCAAACCTGTCCACAAACGTAGCCGACACAATATACGACGAATACATACAGCAGGGACAGGGAGTCTGGGGCAGAGTTCACAGAGAACTGCTGTAAATTCAAACTTTTTCTGAAACCTCTCGTTTCATTTAAATAATTTATATCAATTTTACATTCTGCTCCATAATACCTGTATGCTACTTTAAATAAAAATAACATATCCACCAAAATAATCTTCTAATAAAATCTGCAATAGGAGAGGACATGCTTTCCTCCTTGCTGCCAAGCAGCTTTGGGGAAACAAAGGCTCAGGTTAAGAAATACAGTCAGAATGGGCCTTTGGGATGGGAAGCATATGGGTTCAAATTCTGCCTCTATTATTTATCAGCAGGACACTGTAGTAAGCAAGACATTGCCTGATCCATAGCTACACTTCACCCTAGAAGTGTAAGGTCACCTTATTTACATACCAAGTACTTTAGACTACTGTTTGTTGTTGCTGTTGTTGTTGTTATTGCTAAGTGCTATTGAGTCAGTTCCAACTCACAGAAACCCTGTATAGGGTTCAATCAGATAGTGGGCTTGAACCCTCAGCCTTGCAGTTAGCAGCGCAGTGCTGATCCTAAAGTGCCACACCAGGACTAGAGACTACTGATATTTAATATTACTTTAAATTGTTGATTGCATTATCACTCCCTTCCAGAAAAAATGGTATCTTCATTATCTTTCCACTCCCACACTGAGAGAAAAAATTGTCCTAGGGATAAGAAGCTTTTCAATTCTTGAAACAGCTCCGAAGTACAGTACAATCCCTCTTCAAGACAAGTCAATTTCAGTTCATCCGCGTTTAGAGTTCTTTTTCCTACTTCAAAAGTTTGCACTGGTGCAAACTTCAGAAAAGAAGGAATAATTCCCAGACCAAGGGCTAATCTAGTGGCAAAGCAAAGAAATGGGCAGTGAAATATTGTTTGTACTCATGTCTTTTCAAGAAAGTCGTTATTTTTTCAACTTTCAGAACCAACGTTTGCTTTCAGGCAGAAACTTCCAGGTCAAGACTTCAGATGGGAATAGTTCGCTTTGTTTTGTTTTTCTGACAGTTAAAAGCAACACACCAGGAATACAGAATAGTGTCATCACAGAAAAACCGACAATCCTAACTTGAGGCTGTCAAAGAAAGCCTCAGTAACACAGTGATGATTAGTATCCAACACTGACTATACACTGGGGGGCTTTTCATTTTCATCTCATTGTAATGCACACAAACAACCCTGTGATGCAATGGTTATCACCTGATTCAGAAAAAAGCCCAGAGAAGTAAATGACCTGTCTGAAGTTACAAAATTAGTCAATGACTCAAATATTCAGGCAAAGTCATTCTACAACTCCCAATAAGTAGCTTTAAAAAGTCATTGACAGCTAGAAGAACAGAAGATACTTCGTGAAAGAAAGACCAGCAGGAAAAATTTGAAACAATAATGGCAGTCTGATTGATTACTACAAAAACAAGCAAGCTGTTTGCCCAAGAGCCATCAAGGCAAGTGGTGAGGACCCCTCAGAGCAAATCTTCTTCAAAGACTGAGACTCAAGGGGAATACATGAGCAGGTATGTGGTCTGGATGGTGACCACATAGGTCACTTATAAGGGAAGAGGGGGATAAAACAGCAATCAAGTTGCAAGCTAAGTCCAACCACATTCAACAGACCTCTGTGAACCCGGGTGGAAACCCGGATGGCCAGCAGTATGGCAAGACCTGGGGACTCCTGGGCCCAAAGGCAGTGACATGGCCACAGAAGACTAGAGTGGAGAGTGAAGCATCCAGCTGATATGAAGTGAGGGGAGAGGCACAAGAACACCCATACTTGCAGATAGTACCCATCTGACCTGGGTTCAATGGCTGGATGATCAGAACTCGACTAGAAGAAGAAAGAAGAGGGGAAAAGAAAAAAGAAAAGAGTAACCTGCTACAATTTGATGAACTTTACCTATACTTATGGATATAGTAGCTCAAAAAAGGGAACGAATCTATAAAGCAAGGATCACTCCCACCCCCTGGATACACAGGGTTGACAAGGACGGGCAACATAAACACTGGCTACCCAAAATGGGGGCGGGCATATAAAGGCAAGAAGTGACTGGCTTACAAGCTCTCAAGAGGGAGCCTAGTTCCAGACGGGGCGGGGATAGGTAAAATCACCACTGAATGATTTCCAATCCATTGGGACTGGGCTGGCAAAAGGAAATAGAATTAAGACTCGTGTGGTAAAATAGTGAATAACTGCCATCATGTCTGACTGTGAGACTAGAAAATATACAGGTAGATGGTTTTTGACAAAAGGAGGAGAGTGACTGACTTTGCAGCCCAGGAGCAGAGGTCACTGGGACTATCAAGTAAGAAGAACGGAGAGAGCAGGACCCTATCCAGAGAGGCAGTGATGCCAAGGATGGAGACAGAGAAGATGACGTGGACAGATGGAGCAGCTGGGGACACTGGACTCACAAAGGGAGAAGGGCTGTGTGGTGTACCCTTTGGGGTTATACGATGAGTGTAGAGTATTAAAGCTGATGTTCTCCCACGTAAACCTCACAATAAAAACTTTAAAAAAAAAAAAGCTATTGAGAGAAAAATAGTTGCCAGAATTCAAGTTTTAAAAAGGGAGAAAAAGACAGAGAATCAGTTCCTTAAAGTGAAGGAAGGAACCAGTCACTGGAGAAGGATATTATGTTTGGTAAGGTGGAGGGTCAGAGAAAGAGGAAGACCCCCAACGAGATGGAATGGCCAAGTGGCAGCATCAATGGACTCAAGCATGGCAACATTAGTGAGGTTGGCCCAGGATCAGACAGTGTTTCCTTCTGCTGTGCATAAGGTTGCTATGGGTCAGTACTGACTCAATGATGCCTAACAACAAAATCTTTATGGGAGTCCCGGTGTGGTGCTGTAGGATAAACGGTGCACTGCTAACCAAAAGGTCAGCAGTTCAAACCCACCTGCTATGCCTCGGAAACCCTATCTATCCAGGTCGTTATGAGTTGGAACCAATGGCACTTAACAACAAATATATATACATGGGAGTCCTAGTGTGGCATGGTGCTATAGGATAAGCACTCGACCACAAGGTTGGTTTGAACTGCAAGGTTGGTGGTTCAAACTCACCAACCACTCCTCAGAAACCCTACAGAGAATTACTATGAGTCAGCACTTAACAACAAGAATCTTTTTTTTTTTTTTTAAACAATAATATCTTTATCAGTTCTGGTGTGGCGCTGTAGGATAATCACTGGACAGCTTACCACAAGGTTGGTGGTTCAAACCCACCAGCCACTCCTCAGAAACCCTATACTGGGTTGTTACGAGTTGGAACCAACTCAATGGCACTTAACAACAGTATCTTTATGTTGCACCCCAAAAAAACAATTCAAATTAAAGCAGCTCTACTTGTTCATACTAATTCTAAGAACAAATATCATGTTTCTGCTTAGAATGTCTATGAGAAAAATACACAAGGCCAGCAGTGAAAAGTGGGCCACTTACAGTTTTGTAGACATGTTCCATGGGGCCATCAAATTCCTGTTGCATCCTTTCCTCAAGGAAATAGATGCGGAGCTTTAGGTTGAAGTTTTCTTTCTTCAGTTCAGTGATTTGCTGGAAAAGAAGTACAGAAGAATTAACCAAAGCAAACAATGTATGGCCAAGGGTCCCAAGCTTCAAAGGCTCCCACGGAATTCAAATATGAAGTATCAGAGAAAGCTTACCACCTGTGCAATTGTACTAACCCAGAAGCCTGGATTAGTGGCACCCACTGGCTGAATTTGGAGCAATTTTTAAATCAAAATAAATGATGACAGGAATGAATAATGACTGAATAAGGAAAGAAATCATGGCACCACATCAACATTTTAAGTAAACAAGGGAAGGAAAAGAGGAACTGTTGCTTTACAAAAGAAATACAGTTAATAAACATAAAAGAACAATGCTGCTGTGTGCCAGTCAATTCTAGCTCACAGCAACAACACAGGCCAGAGCACAAGTGCTCCACAGGGTTCCCTAGGCTGAAATCTTTATGGGGAGTTCTGGTGTGGCACTGTGGGCTGTAAAGTTTTGATCCGCAAGATCAGCAGTTCAAGCTCACCAGCCGCTCCTTGGAAATCCTACATAGGGTCGTTATGGGTCGAAACCGACTCAACAGCACCTAACAATACCAACAATCTTTATGGGAGCAAATCACCAAGTCTTGTCTGTCATGGGGAGAACTACAAACCTTCTGGTCAGCAGCTGAGCACTTAACCACTGGACCACCAAGGCTCTTCTAAAAGAATAAACCCAAAACCCCTGACTTCTAGTCAAGTCCATGCCAACTCATAGAAACCCACTACCAAAGCCACCAGTAAGTCATAAGGTTGTCAAGACTGTAAATCTTTAGGGGACAGTCTTGTTTTTCTCACGAGGAGCAGCTGGTGGGTTTGAACCCATGACCTTACAGTTAGCAGCCCAAAACATAACCTATGTTGTTGTAGTTTTTAAGTGCCACCGAGTT